GTTCTGATGCCCATGTTTATCAGGTATCCACTGCCTGTATAAGGACATGAGGAAATGACAAAAACACAAATAAATGCAGGAAACATTCAAGTAAAAAAATGCTGTAATTTTCCTGGCCACCCCTGTGTGAGTAGTGGTCCCCATCTGGCCACCCCTGAGAAAAACGTCTGGCTCCGCCACTGCTCATCTCACAATACTATAATGTGCACAGTGTCATTTATTGTACGAGGTCTGACTTTTCTCATCAGATGGTTTTAGATTAAATTAGTTATGAAAGGCAGCAGATGATGTGCATTCTTTCATGAAATGTTAAGCTTTCAGTTAATGAACTGTCAGAACTAATATTTGTCAAACTCTTCCATTCAGTCGTTTACATCTGTGAATCTGTGACTTTAAGCTACTGAGTTGATCTTGTCCCATGAATCTATCCACACTCACAGCTGCTTCAGCGAAGCTGCTCCAAGGCCATCAGTTCAAAGATGTCTGAGCGGGAGACGGGTGATTTAAACCAGTGTGGTTTCTGACGTAGAGAAACAAATATGCTCTGAGAACACAAYGCAGGGGATCCTGATGAAGTCAAATAGCTTTACTAGCTGAAGTCAAAGAAAATGTGTCGGTATTTCCTCGTGTTTTGCAGGTCAACAGATCCCAGACTCACCATTTACGTGACGTGTTTAAATCAGATACAGCTGGGCACGTCAGTTCTTCAGGTTTCCCATGAGAACACACACACACACACACACCGCAGTAGAGCACACTGAAGCAATTAGCAGCAGCCTCATGGTTAAATAACAGACTGTGCATTCCAGGTGATTTCGGGGAGAAGAAGATAAGATTTTTTGTTGCTGCCTCTTCCTACAAACTACATACGTTTCTAATTTTATAGCTGTCATGAATGCCTGGYTTCTACAACAACAAAGCTTTACTGCAAACATCTAAGCTCCACTGGGGTCAAAATGCATCTGTTTAAGCCTGAGGGTCTTCATTTCTGCCAGGTGAAGTCGACAGAAACTGAACACATCGGCTATAAATGTTTGTTTTTCATTAGTAGTTCATTAAACGTCAGGGGGTTATTCTAATTAAAGGTGATCAGAGGGAAGTAAATACTTTTATTATTTAGGTGAAATGGTGATTATGTTGTGTTTTTATGTTGATTAAAAAATTCTACAAYTCAAAGAAACAGAAAGCATGCTGCTGCTTCTGCAGTGATAAATGCAAAATTAATAGCTAGACTGGATTATTAAAGGGGCAATATCATGTAAAATCATCTTTTTTTGAGTTTTATATCATGTTATAATGTTATACTCTCATAAAAAGCATGCCCAAAGCCTTGCTCTGACTCATTCATGCATGTTTGAGAAATCCTGCAGTGTTTTTAGGAAGCCATGCTGAGGAGCAAAACGACAGGTGGGGACCAGAAACGCCTTTTGGTACCAGAAACACCCCCTGGGATGTGTCTTTAAGCTGAACTTCCCAATGCATTCTCATGTCCCCCGCGTCAACATATTGACGCTTGGTCAGGTAGCTGTCTGCGTCCACATTCAGACACTCCAGGTAGCCTCCGCGCATCAGTTTTTTACGAGATGAGGTGGAGGAGGACGAGCGCGTTGTCATTTTTTTTTACAAGAGTAGGAAATGCGCAAAACTAACCATCCCAGACCCTAAATTTAACTTTCATTAGCCTAATACAGCCTATCCATGACCCCAGACCATAAACTTAAACATTAAACCTGATCCCTCATAGAAGCCATTTTTTAAAACGTAGAGAATTTGCATGAACGAACCATCCCAGGGCCTAAATTTAACCTATATTAGCTTTATACAGCCTATCCCTGACCCCAGTATCTCAAATTAACCATTAATCCTGATCCTCCATGTTAACCTCAGACCCCCGACCCAAAGACCCCTAAATGATGCAATCCGGAAATGCCGCGGGCGGTACCCGCCGCGTCAAAACTGGAGGCTGACGGTCCCTACCCAAGCGTCAATATGTTGACGAGGCGGGAGTGAGAACGTGTTAAACTTCCTCATGGCAGAGCGCACCCCGCCCCTCACCCGCGTGCAAGAKCCCCCCGCATGCGACCACCCCCCTACCCACGGAATGGGACGGAACAGAAGCAGAAGGTGGTTCTTAAAGAGACAGAGGCCAATTTCAAGGCGTTTAGAAGAGGAAGTGATGAGAAGATAAGTTTATTTTCTATTTAAACATAAAAACAGCATTTTAATAACAACTAAAGGTGACAAAGATACTTTATTATGGTATAGTATTTAAATATATGCCTGAGAAACACATATTATTGGCCCTTTAATCAAACTAACCACAGATAAACTCCGAGTTTCAACCAGCTGACAGGCTGAAGGACAAAGGACTAAAAGCTGGGACAGGGTAATTCTTCACAGATTATTCCTTTACCAGATGACGGGCTCAGCTTTTCCATAGACGCAGCCATGCACAGATATCTTACACCTCTTTGTAATTCTACTCGCAGTGCTACTCGCTCTCTTTTGCGTGTGTTTTAGTGCGTGCAAATGGTAAAAGCATTACCAAGAGAGGAGAAAGACTGATGACTCCACAAGAAGGGGACACAAAAGAGAGACAAAGAGACGGGACGGCGTCTCATACAGGGACGTCTGACTTAATCCTGAACCATTTCCTTCAATTCTGTTTGCTTTCTTTTCATTTGAGCTTTGCATGTCTGTGCCACACATCCTCACCCCTCACATGACATGGTCTCAGTTTTTTTTTCTTTCTTACTGCAAGCTTCTTTAAAAGCAGCACGCTGGAAAAAAGTGGTAACCATAAACTGATGACTTTGCATGAGCAAAAGAATGAGAATGACTCCCTCAATGCTAAAATCCTTTGGAGATTTGTTATGTGAAGGGAAGTCTAATAACAGGCTCTTCTTGCCCGCTCCATTATTTCATCGCCCTCTCACCCAGCCCAAAGGGAGGCGAGGCCACCACATCATCTCAGAGGGTGGTCAGCGAGTCGGAGGCTGCTGGATTTGATCTCAGAGAAAATCACAGCTGAGGTAAACAGGTAAAAAGGATGCTTGTTGCAAAACTGCTGACAAGCTTGATCCACTGCAGAAAATGTCCCACCCCACCCCCAAACCTTCAGGCAGCCAGAAGCTGAACATTATGTTGCTCTGGACAGACTGAGCTAAAAAGGTATTAAAAAGGAAAGAAAAATGGAGAAAAATAAGAAATCAGAATTTTATCTCTGAATAAATTAAGATTCAAGAATAGCAGCCCTTTAAGCCACTTTACGGTGTATATATGTTTATAAATATGTGTTTATGTATATGTGTATATGTGCATTGGTACATGTACATTACCATATATCACATGTGTATATTGTGGGGTTGTTTTTGTTTGTTTTCTTTTATTTATCTTTCTTTATTCTTCTCATCCTCTCCTGCATTAAGCTGCTATAATGTGGAAATTTCCCCACGGTGGGATCAATTAAGTTTCATCTTATCTTATCTTATCTTATCTTATCTTATCTTATCTTATCTTATCTTATCTTATCTTATCTTATCT